TTTAATACATAACCAATATATGTAATTTGTTAACCTCATTAAAGGAAAAAGAAAAAAGAATACAGATGAATGTTTTTTTCAATATCTTGGAACACAGATATTTTTAAGCATGACAAACCAAGAAGTCACAAAGGAAAATATGATGTTTGCCCACGTAAAAACTTTAAACTTCTCTATGGAAAAAGAAAAGGGAATTAAAAGACTAAAACAAGCTGAAAAAGAACAATAAGCTAAACAATGGTACCTGATAGATAAAAAAAAGGCCAATTTTTTAATTTTGGAAAGCTCTTCAATTGATTAGAAAAAGACAAATAACATAATAGAAAAATGGGCAAAAGTGACAAAAATAGTTTATAGACATTAAAGAAACATAAAACCAATACAGTATTTTTTCACCTCTCAAAGTGCTGACATTGACTAAAAAGTTTCTAATACTCAAAGTGTTGATCAGGGTGGAGAGAAATGGGTATAGGTGGTAGGGGTGTAAACTGGTTCTACCTTTGGAGAGTAAACTTGGTGACAACCACTGAAATTTAAAATACGGATATTCTTTGTCTTTGGAGATCCAAATCCCACGAACTTATCCAACAACTTATTTCCACAATGAGGAAAGATGGTACAATATTGTCTTCTTCTGCATTTTTTCTAATACTGAAAAGCTGGTCCATCAGTAGGTTAAATAAATTAGGCCATAGCCATAAAATTAAGTATAATATATCCACCAGAATGAAGTTGATCAAAGTATACTGATGTTGGAAAGAGGTCTATAATATATGCTATTAAGTGGGGGCAGGAAAAGTAGTTGCAGCACAGTATGCATCATATACTAAGAAAATTCCTGTACAGATACCAAAGAAATTTCTAACAATGAAACCAGAGGATTTGAAGAGAGGGGGACTTATACTGTTTGTTTCACTTCTTTGCTACTTGAATTTTTTTTAAGATTATACCTTTTTAACTAAAAACATAATCAAACACTAGCTATTAAAATGTACTTTTGCCAGGTGCCAATAGGATTAGGATCAGGAGGATCATGGTTCAAAGCCCGCCTGGGCAAATAGTTTTCAAGACTCTATCTCAAAAATACCCAACACAAAAAATAGTTTTTGAGACTCTATCTTGAAAATACCCAACACAAAAAATACAGAGCTGACAGAGTTGCTCAAGTGACAGGACACTTGCTTAGCAAGCATGAGACCCTGAGTTCGAATCCCAGTACCACAAAAAAAAAAGTAATTTCATTTGTGCTCTAGTTGTGAGGGAGAAGGGACCTACAAACAGATAAAAAAAAAAAAAAAAAGAGGCTTAGGACCACCAGTCCCAAAGGTGTGTATAGCACACACAGGCCTCCTCTGGTCCTGTCCTAACTCTCTTGGAAACACCAGGCCCAGGAACAGAAATCAGAAAGAACATCATTACTTTGTACCCTCTGCCCCCTCTGGGCAGTAAATGCAGAAATTTGATTTTGGGACCTGAATTATCCACCACCAACCAATTATATCCCATGCCAAGGCAAATCACAAATAATCCAAAAAAGAAATTACTTACTTAGCATTAGATCATGCATATTTTACAATTTTCAATTGAATATGTACACCTGTGACATTCCATTTTGTCCAACAAACATGGTTCTCAAAGGCTGTAAAGCTCAGTGCTAAGAAGAGAGCAAGAGAGAAATAAAGCTTGGTGCTATCACCAAGGGACTGAAAATCCAGCGTGAGGGAAACATCCACACAGCCAATCAGAAGACAGGCTGAATGGCTGCCACTCTAGTATGGTATTCGGAGATATTACCCCCATCTGGAATCGTCAGCAGTATCACTGAAGAGATGACACTCTTCAGCACTGAAGAATCTCTAATGTTACCTATCTTTCCCATTTCCTCTTCTCACAACTCTCCTTTTCTCTACATTTATGTAAAACAGGTAGCTTTGACAGTTGCCCCTCCTCCTGCTGCTTAATTCGTATCACTAAGTATAACACCATCTCTTCTGCATAAGCAATCAATCGGTGTTAGGTATCTGTTTTGGTAACTATTTCTTTGAATAAAGTTTTATTTATTTGAGGGTTGCTCATTATACTCACAAACCACTGAAATATTCCTAAAATTCCAGTAAACTTTAAACTATTTCTTATCCATTTACTGGTTCCATTTACTGGTTCAGATTTGTGATTGGTTTAAAAATAAAGCCACCTTAAGACAATCATGAGAAATGCCAGTCTAGGTTATCAAGTCTATAATGCAAAGTACGTAACACTAAACAAAACACTAAAGGCTGTCATTATTTTGTCACTGTGTGATTTTTTTTTTATTGTTTTTCATCTAAAATTAGTCCAGAGTTGGGTAAGGTGGCACATGCGCTGTAAGCCCAGCACTTAGGAGGCTAAGGTGGGAGAATCACCTGAGTTCAAGAGTGTAAGACTAGCCTGGGCAACATAATGACACACATACACACACACACACACACACACACACACACACACCTCAGCGAGACAGAGAATAGTTTTATTTAAAAATATGTATAAACAAAGAAAAGTGACCCACATGCAGATGGTTACCAAGCTGTCACCCTTATTAAGGAAAAGGAAGAGCATAATGTCAAAGAACTTAAACCTAGAAGTCTAAACTTTCTTTTCTTTATTAACACTTCTTAGGTTCTTGACACACTGGGTTATTCAGTGAAGTTTTATAGTCAAAAAGACATGCGTTTGAATTTGGACTCCACCACTTCCTAGCGATCTCCTTCAGCAATCATTTCATGTCTCTGAGTTTCAGTTCCTCACAGATAATTTTCCTACCTCAGAGTCACTGTGAAGATTATTCAGGTTAAGTCAGAGAAACAATCTATGTAAAGCATTTAGTACATTGGCTGGCATGAAGCAAGTCATCAATGAATGATAGTTAAAATAACCAGCACTGTTACTGTGAACTCTAACTCTGGAAGCTACTGGGTAGGCCCAAGTCTTGGACACAGAAAGTGAGAAGTAGAAAGTCAAAGTAAGCTTCTTTTTGCCATGCTTATGAAAAATGAGAACACGTGATTTCAGTTACAACAGCTCTCAGAATGAGTCCTGCACAGTGACTGAGAATGTTCTAGGATCTACTCCAAAAGTAACACTTATTTGAGCAAATTGCTCAGAGATGTCCTTTCTTCAGAAGAGATATCCTTTCCTCCACTAAAACAGCCCTAATAACCATCCTCAAAGTGCTTTGTATGGATCTTTTGTGAAGGTTAAAATAAATAAGCTAATCCATGTAATATTCGTAGGATACCACTGGCAACAGTAAGTACTCCAGATTCTGACTCTTACACTGTCAGTGACACCCCAGTCCCTGCCCCAATGCCGTTACTGAAAGGAGTCTGAATAGAACCTGCAACACTGGATGTGCTTCTATGTATATACTCAGTAGTCTATAGAGTCTAACACAGTTAATAGAATACTAACTGTGCATTCAAACCCCAGTACCACTAAAAAATAAAATGGAACACTAATTACATTAACAGTCTACTCATTCTAGTTTTTAAAACCAAGTAATAATTATAGAAAAATATTCAAATAATTGGGAAATACATAAAGTAAAAAGTGTGCTCATACACCTACACCACCAGCCCTCACATCCAATTTCCAAGGGAGACCACAGAAAAGCACTGCAGTGGTTACTCTTCAGATCCTGTCCCTCAATAATATAAATGAGGGAGGGAGCTAGGGTTCTGAAAAACTGGAATTACACAATACATATTATTTGTTTATTCAATGATAAATCATGGATATCTTTCAAAGTCAGTGCACAAAAAAACCCTATTATGTAATGTGGATAAATTATAAATTATCCAGAATATGGATAAATTATCAAGAATATGGATAAATTATAATTTATTAATTCACTATACTAGGCATTTTGTCTACCTGTACTTTTTTGCTGTTAAAAAGTAATTCCAAGCCAGGCACTGGTGGCTCACACCTTCATCCTAGATATGCAGGAGGCAGAGATCAGGAGGATTGCTGTTCAAAGCTAGCCCAGGCAAATAGTTCGAGAGGCCCTATCTCAAAAATACCTATCAAAATAGGGCTAGTGAACTGGCTCAAGGTGTAGGCCCTGAGTTCAAACCCTACACCACAAAATAATAATAATAATAATAATAATTCCACAATGAACACTTTATTTGAAGGGCATAGCTTCCAAAAAGTGGAGCTAAGTCAAAGGATTTACACATTGTTAAGTATTGTCAAAATGTCTCCAAAGAGGATGTGCCCATCGTACTTTCTTTACCCACTGTACTCTCTAACAGTAACCATCATTTTTAAAAATAGGAACAAAAAGTATACTATCTAGTGGAAAAAACTCAAGTATTTCCCCATTGAAAAGTGGCTCTCATCTTCAAAAAAGGACAGGAACCACGGTTGCAACCCTTACTTTATCCTAACTGAACTCACACCATGACCTCACCTGCAATGCTCTTGGCTCATGTTAAACCCAGTTTTCTAGTATACTCCAGTTCTGTCCCAAAGCCAATTCAGTGGACAGAAAAGGACTTAAGAAAAGGGTGTTCCTATCATCATCTAGCAACCCTGTCAAATCTCACTAAAACAGAATTATTCCATGCAATGGTTACATGAAAGCTCTATTCTGTTGCTATGTTTTTAAAGCAGTAAAGGACTAAAATCTCTTAATCAATAATCATTGGCTTACAGGTAGTTTACATGTTTCATTTTGTCCTACAATGTTATTACAGTGAGGAGCAAGAGCAGATAAAGGTCATGCTGGTAATTAAAGCTATATTGTAGAAATATGCACACCCAAGATATGATTAAGTAAGAAAATATTACTCAGTTCAGTATCATCATTAAACTTGCATTAATTTATAAATATTTAAGTGAACCATATGATGATCATAAATAATCAGTTGTTGTCAGTTTCTAAAGTAATATTACCCATACACCATGTGAAATATTACTGCAGAAAGAAATAGTCAAGAAAGTATGCAAGCCAGACTTACATTCAAATGCTGTAGTTGTTGCTTCAGGCAGAACCTGGCCTATCACATCCTAAACAAAGCAAGAATAAAGAAACACAATTAGCCATCTTCTTTATTGCTAACATGTGGCAAATCCTAAAAGAAATATGAGAACCTGGGAAAGATTTTTGAAATGTTTGCATAACCTATAAAAACATTAGCTCATAATCACATTTAGCCCAGCAATGTAAGCCCAGAGTTAAAACTCAATTCCAGAGAAAAAAATCTTTAACAAAACTTTAGATTGTATTAATAACAATCTTTTACTCTCAATTCAACAATGCATCCAACTATACTGTTCTATATTTAACAAAAAAAAAAAAAGGTTTCTTCTATGGGAGGCTGTAGAATATACTGTGGGGAAAGAGAAAAAAGACTGGTCAGTCAGTCCACTCTAGGTTTGGATCTTTCTCTATACCTATTAGATATGTGACCTGGAAAAATGTCACTTAACCTCTCTGAGTCTCAATGTGATTATTCTCCAAAATGGGTCTAATAATACTTACAGGGATAATGTAAAATCTAAATAAGGTAATAAACATAGGATTGGGACCTGGCACACTGTAGACATTTGACAAATGTAGTTCCTGATATGTAAGGAGCAACACAGTACCTTGCTCTCATAGTAGTAGGAGTGTCCACTATAATGACATAAACGTGTAAGTTACTTTTAATAGAAATAATTCTTATCAATCTTTACTCTTAAGCAATGGAAAACATATTTAATGTTTCCATTAAAACTAAGTCTACAAAACCTTGGAAAAGTGTATATAATCTGATATTATCAAGTAAATGAATTTATAAAGTTGAAAACCATCAAAATGAATCTACAGGGGCAGCTCAATTTGAAGAGGCACTGAACACAAAGTTCTTGGAAAAGCAACCCTTCATCCTGCCTGCCCAGTCCCACCGGAATAGCCTGCAAATCTTACTTCTCTCAGGAACTCTGCCACAATGTCCCTCTGAGTGCTGCACCAGAACTGGCACCAAACAGCCAGCTGACAAAGCTGCTCTTGGTATGTCTCAGCAGGGAGCCCAAAGCCCTTCCAAGCAGGGCACTTAGCAGAGTGGAGGCTACAAATCCCTTCTAAAGGCAATTCTTTAGAAGCTTCTGCTGCAGTGGCAATTTGCATAATAGTCTTGCCTCTACAATGTTGTTTTCAAAAATAAATCTGTGCATATAAAATTGATCAAAGAGAACTATCTTAGGCAGCCTCTGCTTATTACAGTCAGGAAAGATTATGTTTTCTCTGATTCTAGTCTTATTTAGCAAATGAAACATCAACTTTGTGAGGAATATCTGTAAAAGATACCCTTTTAGGGTTAGAAATTCTTTCCACACAGGCAAAGGGAAAAAGTATTTATTGTACACCAAGTGCAGAATAAACTACACAAGCAGTCCAGCCTAAAGCATGAAAGCAAGGACTCATACCAGACTGATAGGGCTGCATGCTGACTCTGCCTCACTAGCTGAGTAAACAAGCCTCTCTGGCTCAGTTTCCATATGTGTAAAACAAGATCATAACTACCTACCTTGTAGGACTAGTGAGTTAATATTTGTAAAAGGCTTAGAACTGTTTCCAGCATGTGGCAAGTGCCATTATTAGTGTCTGTTAAATAAATAAAACAAATTACTGATCACTGGGACACAACAAAGTTTACCTCACAATAAAACCTACATATCAGCACCTAGCAATCAGTGGAGGAGGATCATTTGCTCACTGAAGTCACCCTTCTACAGTACTTACTGAAGACCTTTTCTAGCCACTAGAGGAAAGAACGGGGACAGGGAGAGAAAGGAAGGGCACTCCCTCCCAACCCTCCACGACCAGGTAATCACTGGTTACAATCACTCAGACAAACAATCTTTAGATGTGAACTCTCCCTCTGCAGAATAAGCAAACTAATTTGGGGTCCTTCCTACTTTTGAATACCAGACCCCATCAAACAGCAAGTTTCTAATAACCTGCCGAAAACCCTGCTGGGCAGCAATGGCATACTTTGCCCCTCAACATAAACAAAGAACCCCACATGCTTTACATCTGATATAGGAAAAGGATAGAAAAAGAGAACAAACTTGACTGAGAGTATCATGGGAACACACCAACCACCTTGTTTCTTTAAAGCATAATGACAAAAGAGTAAAAAGCCTGAAAATACGTATCTACTGGTTATTTTTAAGCAAAGTATACTTAATAATTTCATGTACATTTTCCAGTTATACTTTAAAGATTTTAGAATTATTTCCAACTGACCTTCTCTTACCCTCAACAACATTTTACTTCACTTAAAGAAGCTTTCAAAAGAAAACTTAAATTTACATATCTTGATAGTGAGTACTTCTTTTCATCTCCTTCCTTTCAATAAATCGGACAAATATCTTACAGGCCAAAAATAAAACTGTCATCTACAACATACCAGGAACTTTGTAAGTAGGCTTTAAGACTTGGCCCTTGGCTTCAGGAAGATTCTAATCTGGTCACTGAGATAAAGTCTAACAATAACAATATAAAGTCTTTCCAGCAATGACAAGAACCAAATTAAACACATAGTATCAAACAGTGTCTGCTAACTCATTTGGAAGGAAAAATCACAGACTCAGTTTAGACAGAAATTTCACAAATGAGGGAAAATTGGGGCTGGGGCTTTAAGACAGGATACAAAGAGCAGAGAGGAGAGGGTTGGACACTATCTTCCACCATGCAGTAATCCAACCTAATCCTTTGCAGGTTTCCTAGAACTAGAGACTATGTCTCTGGAGTGGAGGAAAAACACAGCTGAAAAACAGATACCCCAACTACATCTGTCCTTGGGAACCAACTAGGCCTCCTTTACATGACAGTCAGTTCCTGATGATTCAGACAAAAAACAAGCCTCAAAGAGGTCCAGTGACTTGCCCAGGTCTCCCAGCAATTTGCTGAAGCAGTTACTCTCACAACTAACCCTTGCTTCTGACTTCTGGATTAGATGTGTGACTCTAGCAAGGCACCTCCCTGTTCTGGGGTTATGTTCCCTCATCTGAAAACATGGTGGGGGTTGGATTAAAGGTAGGGGATATTCCAGGTTTCATGTGGCTTTAAAGTTTAAGGTTCCAAGCTAGAGACTGTGACATTCTTTGGGGTTTTTGCCTTTTCTTAATGAAGAGATGAGGTGAAGAAGGAGAGATCGATCACAGGATTTGGGTTTGCACCTTGGCAGACCTTGCCGAGGAGCACCAGGAGAAACACAGTACCCGCTGCCTCAAGCCCTCCATCAGGCCTTCATGACAAATGTGCTCCACCTGGTCTTACCCACAACAGTGTGTAGACATACGGCACTCTGAGCTCTAGTGGTGGGCCACACTGGCACAACATCTCCTTTAGGCCAGTTAATATTGAACCAGGAACAGCCCGGAAGTTCTCAAGAAGCAGAGGACCAGCCAGGTGTGGTGGAGCACACCTGTAATCCCAATTACTCAGAAGGCAGGAGAATCATGAGATTGAGGCCCTCCCAGGCAAAATTAGCAAGACCCTATCTCAAAAACAAAATACAAACAAAAGAGTTGGGGGGGGGAGGCATGGCTCAAGTGGTAGAGTGCCTAACATGCCAATACTGCAACAACAACAACAAGCAGAGGACAAGGTCCTGTCTCTGATGCTGTAGTGACAATACTTACAGAACACTTAATATATGCTAGATTGTTCCAAGCGCTTTATATGTATCAACTCAAGCATTCACAAGACACTTGCCCAAGGGGGCTTCCAATTTAAACCCAGGCAGTCTGGCACCCATTTCTGATCTAGAACACCCCTATTGTTTAAAATACTAACTTCTTTTGCTTCATTTGCAAGTAAGAGAAAGCTTATCTTCTTCATTTTAAACACAAGCTCACTTAATCTTCACAAGTCTTGAGGCCAGTATCAGTATCTCTATTTTACAAAAAATGAGGACACTGAGGCTCAAAGAGGTAAAGTGACTTGCCTAGTTAGTGGGAGAGCTGACAATAAAACCCAAATTTCATGACTCAAAACCTAATGCTCTGTCCAGAACTGTAACTGCACACATCCTCTTTTAAGCTCCCTCATTACACAAGTATCTAGGAGTCCCATGAAGCAGCAGAAACAGAGAGGAAACAGAGCTCTCCACCTCCTGCACAAGTTTTCTTCTAGTGGAACTAACTGACAGGCAAAGAATCATCACCAAATGTGTGGTTTACCAGGGTGTGCACACAAAATTGCAAAAACACAGAGCAACTGCACAAACAAGAGAAGCTTAGCTTTGAAGAACAGGTGGAAATTGATCAGCTGAAGAAGGGGGCAGAGTGGAGACAGCCTGTGCACCTGGGAGAGCAGACAGAAATTCTGTATACCTAAGGCACAGGATGCCCATGGGGGTGCCAAGCAGGCCAGCACCAATCAAAACAGAACCAGAGGACTATGATAAGGACTGCATTGGCCTACTAGGAAAGGAAATAACTTGCATGTAGTGTAAAGAGAACTCTGGATGCAGAGAAAAGGAAAGCTTTGGTACACAGGGCTGCCTCACTAGTCTCGGCATCCACAATCCTGGCCAAGGCACCTGAAAGCCTGAGTGACCTGGGTGGTCAGTAACATACCGAAGTCAAAAGAAAGTTCCAGAAATCAATTTTTTATTAAGTAAACCAAGACAATTTAAAAATCACATCACTTTTTCAGTCCCTTTAATCTCACTGGTAAGGTCCACTGTCCATTTTGCTACCTAGTATGTCAGTTTCTGCCTTCCATGTCTGTTATTCAGTACATAAAATGGGCAGGATGCACCCTATTCATAGCAAATAAAGATTAGAAAGATGCAAAGGGGCTGCAGCATGTGCAAAAAAGTAGTAAGTAAAAGTAAAGGAGTTTGAGTTCCTGCACTGACTGTCGGGCTCAGGAGCTATAGGACCTCAAACTTCCTCAGTCCCTACCCGCAAAAAAGAATACCAGGGCAGAACAGGCTGCCTACAAAGATACACTCGGCTCTAATATTTTGGATTTTTATCTGATATATATTCTGAGTATCCTGATGTTACCATTCCTCTACACTAACATCTCTGCAATGGGGCTGGTTTTTGTACAGAAATGGTGCATCATAGTTAAACAAGCAGCATTTTCTCTTTCTTCGTGGTAGGTCAAAGACATCTTAGGTTTGCTCAAAGGTGATAAGCTTAAGTTGCCCTGGTTTCCCTTTCCCAGCAGGTCCCCAAGTTCAGAGAACTCAGTAGAAATAAAGACATGCCTGGAATCTGGCCAGGGGCATTCCAGAATACTCTTCTATACTAGCTTTTTCTTTCCCAGTTGCATGTGTCCGTGTGCACGTTCCAGCCCAGGCTGGGAGCTTCCTGAGGCCAGGAGTTCGGTCTGATTCATCTCCTTCCCCAGGGCTTTGCACAAGTACCAGGTTTCAGTGGGTGAATTAATCAATGCTGTGATTGAAGCAAAATAACTGCCCCCACTACAGGCCAACAAGGGCCACCACCACTAGCTCGAGCCACCAGTGGTCAGGTGCTGACTACCCAGATCCCCTGAGTCCCCCTGGCTGACATCTGATACTGAGATTGCCACTCACCAGCACATCTCTGAAGAGCAGCTGCGGCCCGGAGTGCACGGTCCAGTCCACCGCGCCACTATTTGGAATCTTGATGCGAATCACCAGCACCTGGCTCTCCATGGCACGGAAGGGGCCAAGGGCCAGCCACAGCATTACAGGTAAAGGGACTCACATCCTGGTAGGGGTTCCCAGTGACCCCTGCTTAGGAGGGACTCCAAGAGGTGACAAGGGGAATGAGGATTGGAAGATGGAGTGAAGAGAGCAGGGGTGACCAGGAAGGGCCCCGCAGGCACCCAGGCAGACCCAAGTTAGAAGGGGCTAGAGGGTGTTTCTCGGGGAGGGTGCCCTGGGGACCAGGCAGGACCCGGGAGGAGTGAGCAGCGGTCGTAAGGCTCTGGAGTTGGAAAGGTGGGCAAAACAGCACCGCGACGCTTTCCACGGTCGTGTGGGTGTAGGGAAACAGAGCACGCGCGCGGTCTGGGGATGGAGCTGCCGGCGGCCGGCCCTCCTGGGTGCTCCGTGGGGGAGGGGAGCGTGGCCGACACAGCCCGGGACTGTGAGCAAGGAGCCCCGCCAGAAGGCCGAATGGCCGGGGCGGCAGCGGCAGGGGCCAGAGGTTGCCGCAGGCTCAGTCCCCGACCGAGGCCGAGCGTCCTGGAGGCGAGAGGAGGAGGAAGGAGGCGACGGCGACACGGCTACTCCGGAACCAAAACGCGCGGCGCCGGAACCCGGGGAGTCGACCGGCGGGACCCGCCTCCCCGGGCGCCATGTTGGAAGAGGGCATCGCCGGCGGCCGGCCCCGCGTGCGGACAACCGGCCCTCTCTCCCCGCCGGGGGCGGCGGCGAGGTGAACACCGCTCGGGAACCGAGCACGCACCGGACCCGGGGCCGGAGTCGGCCGAAAGCCAGTTGGCGGCTTAAAACTCTGTGGTTTGCTTTCCGAGAAGCCGCAGAAAGACGCGACGGCACCTCCGTCATCCCCGCTTGTCAAGCCGCGCACCAAATCAGCAGGGCAAAGGCTCCAAAAATAGTCACAGATCCACAGTATCACCGACTTTCTCCCACATTAGCAATACGTGTATGAGTTTTTCATTGAGGCCTTTTATCCGACGAGTACCCTAAAAGACCGAACAGCCAGCCCCGTTCCAGCAATAGTGAAGAAACCCAGTGAGGACTTGGGCGGCCCCATAACTCACTCAAAACCATTGTAAAAACCTGCGACCTGGCATTGCATTTTCTGCTAAAATGCCGCGTTTATGTAAGCAGTGATAGCACGTGGTCGCTTTGAACTTTGGTTGTTGTCTAATGCTTTGTTACCCCAGATCTGAAAGTGCAGAATCCTGCTGACTTTGGGGGCTGGACTGAGGTTTACAAATGGCAGCGAGCAGACTGGTCTGTTTCTAAAGCAAGTGGCTAAACGGCTTTTCTTTCGGGTTGATTTTGCATCAGTTCAGAGAGGGAGGAGGGTCTGTTGTGCTGGAATAGCTAATTGATTAGTGTGACAAGAGGGAAAAACTTAAGTGTTGATTATTTTTCAGTGTAAGAGCAAAATATTTTCTGCGTAATTTTCTCTGCCTGAGTTTCTTTCATATTTATTTTGAAAGACCATTGTAGGAAATAAGTGATTACCTTTTAGTTATGGTAACTTAGTAGCTTAGGTAGAAATTCATTTAGTCAGATCCTCCGGATATCCTGCCCCTTTCCACCTGAAAAATAAACCCAAGGTCTCCACGTACTTTTTATTGAAAGTTCATTTCCTATTATTCGAGAAAATAGACCACAAAACTAGAGATTTTCTATGAACCTATGATTTGTTAAAATGTCTTTTTTATTCATGGTATCATGGGGAAAACCAACTCCATTTGCCAAATTTGCATACATATTCTGAAGCTTTTCTTCCACAAATGGCAGACTTACAGCCCTTTCCCATATTTGCAGAACCAATATAATCACATTTTAGTTCTTCATAGAGTAGGAAATGTTAGCCTTGATGATCTGAGCAAGGGTTTTCCTGAAAACTTCATGCTCATTGCCAGACATATCATAGTCACATGTAATACTAGACCATTCCATAATGATCTTAAGTGATAAAATACCACTTTTGAATCTCTTTACCAAATAGAATAAACTCCATTGTCTACATGTAAGATATTTTTAGTATTCAGCATTGAAGTTGTGTGTGTCCTCCAAAGCTTTCCTTTTTTTAACAGTGAATGTAAGTCAGGCACTCAGGCACTGACGAGGTAGTTTGAGTCATAAAGCAGATTGACTGTAGTAAAAAGCCTGTGCTTCCTCGTATTTTTCCTACTTAAAGGATGTTATGGTTTGGATCTAAAATGTTCCCCTAAGGCCAGGTGCTAAAGGCTTGGTTGCCATCCCGTGGAAATATTAAGAGGTGGTGCTAATGAGAGGAAGTTAGGTCATTGGGGCATGCCTTTGAAGAGCATGTTGAGGCTAGAACCCTTCCTCCCTGGCCCCCCTCTTTTTTGCTTCCTGGCCACCGTGAAACAATGCAGTTTCATCCACCTTGCAGTCCTGCCATGATGTTCTGCCTGGCCCCAAACCCAAAAGCAGTGTCACCAACCAACCATGGACTGAAACCTTTGAAACTGTGAGCCAAAATAAACTTTTCTTCCTTATAAATTGTTTTATCTCAGATGTTTTTGTCACAATAATGGAAAGCTAACATAAAGAACTCAATAAATGCAATAGAAAATTCCTCTCCTCATGAAATTATCTTCTGATAGAATTAAATGACTAAAATACGTGTTAGACAGTGGTAAATGCTGGGAGAAAAATGAACCAGAAGGATACTGAAAAACAATGCAGTTCCCCAGTGTGGTGGCACTAAGGAATATGAAAATTGCCCCAAATTGACTCCTGCTTACTAGTAACCTTAACCAAAAAGAAGACATTTCTGTGAAGTTAGTTGCCTGATGATTTCTTAAATTTTTTTAATTGTGCTAAAACACACATAACACCAAATTGACTATCTTAGCAGTTTTTAAGTATACAATTCAGTATGTTAAATACATTGACAGTTTTGCACAGCCAGTCTTCCGGACTTCTTCCTCTTGCAAAACTGAAGTTTCCTACTCATTAAATAATGACTTCCCATTCCCTTTCCTCCAGCCCATGGTCACCATTCCTCAACTAGCTGTTTCTAGAGTTTAACCAGTCTTAGATACATGAGTGTTATCATTCAATATTTGTCTTTTCATGTTTGGCTATTTCTCATAGTATAATGCCCTCAAAGTGCATCCATGTGTAGCATGTTAAGTTCCTTCCTTTTCAAGGCTAAAAATAAGTCCATCAAAGATAAACACCACATTGTGTTTATCCATTCATCTATCAATAAACTTTTGCATTGCTTCCAACTTATGGCTATTGAGAATAATGCTGCTATAAGCATGGGGATAAAAATATCTATTCCAGGACTGGGATGTAGGTGGGTGGTAAAGGATGTGTGTGTGTGAGGCCCTGGATTTGATCATCAGCACCAAAAATTTTAAAAAAGAATATTACAGACTCTTATTTATATGCCTATAATGAAATGCCTGATGCAGGCTAACTTTATAAATAAAAGATATGTTTAGCTCACAATTTTGGAGGTTCAAGGACATGACCCTGCCATCAGGTAGGCTCTGGTGAGGACTTCATGGCTGATGGCACCACAATAAAGGAATCACATATAGAAAGAAGAGATTAGAAATGAATACAGGAAGTCAAAGAGTCTGGGCACACCTCTAAAGCCTACAGATCTCCTATGAGGCCCCACCTCTTAAAGGTCCCTTTACCTCCCAATACTGCTACCCTGGCACCAAGGCTTCAACACATAAACTTTTGGTGGAATATACTTAAATTATGTCCAAAGCATAGCAGATGTATACCCAGAAGTAGTATCTGAATCACATTTTCTGTTTAATATTTTTGAAATTCTGCCATAACCTTTTCTACAGTTGCCAGTTTATATTCCCACCCAAAGTGGGCATAAGTATTCCAGATTCTCCACATCTTCACCAATACTTGTTATTTTCTGTGTTTTTGTTTTTGTTTTTGTTTTATAGTAGCCATCCTGTTCAGTGTGAAATGGACTTCTCATTGTGGTTTTTAATTTGTATTTCTCTAATGATTAGCAACATATAACCTTTTTTATATGCTTCTTGGCCATTTGTATAACTTCTTTAAAGAAATATCTATTGTTCTTGTTTTAAAGTGATGGAATGAGGAAAATTACATTTTGCTATTATAAATTCAGAGAGGTTTTCTTTTATCTATTAGTACCTTGCTCTCAATCTCAAATCTTTAACCCAGAATCTGAGCCCTTTCTATCACCTTTGCTCCTACCCTAGGCCAAACTATTCTTGACCAATTTTCTCTTTTTTTTTAACCCCTACAAATAGTCTGTTCTTAACCTGACTACCAGAGTTACATCAGGCCACTTGTTTGGTTAAAACTCTCCAGATGGATTCCTATCCTGTGCAGGGTAAAAGCCAGTCTTCTCCTTGGTCTAAAAAGTATATTCTGCCTCCCACCCTTTCTGAACTCCTCCCCTTCCCCCACCATGCTGGGATTGCCCAGGGCCTCACATAGTTCTCAGCATGTACTCCAACACTGAGCTACACCCCAGGCCCTGCTCCTGAAGTCTCAAACCTCACGTCCTACTATTCTCTCTCAATCACACTATCCTGTATCTCACTGTTCCTAGAACATGTCAGGCATACCACCTGAGGGCCTTTGCATTTACCATTTCCTCTTCTTGGATTACTCTTACCGTAGAGATGTACACGTCTCATTCCCGTACAACTTCTTCCTGAGGCCCTCCTTGTTGAAATGGCAAACCAGACCCCAGCCCTCCCCACTTTGGCACAAGAATGAAGGTGTGCATGAGCCCCAATACCCTTCTTATTTTTCTCCCTGCACTTAGCAGTATTTAACATACCACATTTTACTCATTTGTCTCTCCACTAGATGATAACTTCATCAGGGAGTAGAAATGTGTGTTTTATTTACTCACATGGTAACTAAAAGTCCCTGGCATAGTGGGTACTTTGATAGTGTTTGTTGAATGAGCGAGTTCTGTAGGTAACCTGGATTGAAGGACAGGACTGTAGCTTTCATGTGTATCTCCTGCCGGCCTTGAGCCTCATGTGTTCCTTTTCCTTTCCTCTACTTCACTACCACCAAGACTGAAATAACAGCAGTTATAAACTCCCATTAAACATCATTTTTATAACAGAAATTGGCTGCCTTCTATGCTCAAGAAATTCACTCATCCCTTTCAGTGCCTAGTGCCCTTGATATAATA